GCGGGATGACGCCCACCCCGCTCCAGGCCCCCCGGTGACATTGGGTTGGGGGCTTGCTGTTAGCGCGCCTCCGTGGTGGCATTTGTAAAGTGGGAAGACGCTGCCCCACCTCCCGGTCTGTCTGAGGGCTGGTTCCTTGAGATGGGGGACTGGGTGCCCTGGCGGGCCTCCAGGGCTCGGGGACATTTCTGTGACCGCAAACCACGGCTGCAACTGTGGCTCTGCAGCCTTGACGGGAGCTTCGTTGTCTTCGGTGGGGCAGAGGGAGCTTTCGGACTGCTGGCTTTGCCACTAGCCGCCGGACAGCTTCACCCAGACTCCACCAGGGCTGGAAAGCACCGGTCACCGCCAGGCTTTCGACTCCCTCCAAGAGTCAGCCTCAGAAGCCCACAGGGGCCCTTCTGCTCCATCCTATGGGGTCGCTATGAGTCAGCATCCAGGATAAGTTGGGGCTGTGGGTCCCCAGAGGCTCAGGAGGAAGAGCACCACCCCTCCCAGCTGCCCATTCATCCAGCGGGGGCCACTTGAGCTACATTCCTGCCTGGGAACTCTTCTGGCCTCACCTGAGAGGGTGGGGGTGTGGCATCCTTTACCCAGGAAGTCGCACTTCTCTGTTCCCACCTTTGTCCCACAGGGTCCACTCCACGGGGACTCAGGGCAGCTTCATCCGCTTGGCTTTGCTCTGTCAGACAGCTCACAGTCCATTTTACTTGTCTAGCCCCACGCTTTTTTTCTTCTCTTTGATTTTAGAATCTCACCCAAGTATCTTCCCCAGCAGAGCTGAGGCCACAGCGCTAATCTAACAGTTGCCTCCTCCCAGCCCCCAGCTCTGGGCAGAATCACTGTTGCAGGGAACCCCCAGCCAACTACAACCCTGACCCCTCCCCAAGGGCATTGGGTGACCTGGGTCTGTCCACTTGACCTGTCCACTTGGCCCTCACTCACACCACCATCACCGTCAGCCATGGGCCGCCCACACTCTCTGCCTTCCAGCTGTCCACACTGCTGCTCACAGGACTCATCTCTTCTGCAGAGAAAGGCTCCGCCCTGGCCCTGGGCCTGTTCCACCTGGCCCCAGCCACCTCTCCGGGCTCAATCCCCGGCTGCTCTCCCTCCCAGCCTCCACAGGCTCATCAGCGCTTGCCCGGAGAAATGCTTTCTGACTCCCTGCCCCTATCCTCACCAAACTCCTCCTTATCCAGTAGATCCTGGAAGACCTCTCTGCCAGCTCCCACACCTACCTCAATATGGGCCTCTGATGTAGTGATTAGTGATTGCACATTGGGCTGATGATTGCCCATCGGCAGCTTGAAACCACTAGCCACTCCCTGGGAGAAAGATGAGGCTTTCTACTCTCTGAAAAAGGTACAGTCCCGCCGGGGCAGTTCTGCCCTGTCCTGTTAGGGTCTCTACCGGGAGTCAGGATTGACTGAATTTGTTTGTTTGTATGTGGGGGGTGCACTTTGCCTTCCTGGTAGCCATCTCAGAGAGATGTGTTGATGAGAGCCTTTGATGAATGTTTGTCATGCTCCCCACTAGGCTGATTTCACAGGGCAGGGTGATGGGGAAGGGAGAGGCTTTTTAGTTCCCCCGGTGTCCCAGAGGAGTTTTTGAACAAAGGATGAATGCTTTCTTGATCCTGTCCTACCTGTTACGCTGTCAAGGTGCCCCCTCCCTCCCTCCCACCTCCACTCCCAGATCTGGTCTCTCTTCTTAGGACAAGTTGGGTCTTGTGTGGGGGAGACAGGCCACCACACCCAACCCAAAGTCTTAGATTTTGGCGAGGATGCCACTTCCTCCATGCCAGCTGACTGACTGACGGAGAAGCCCATGCCATCATGGGAAATCAACTCCAAAATATTTGAGGAGCGCAGGCCATTCAAATGAAAACATACTAGATTGTACTTTCTATCAGAAGAATGACAAGAGCCTGCGGACCAGGAAGCCAAGATGAGCCTAATGAGTCTTTTTATTTATTTATTTTTTTTTAAAGTTGAATCGCATATTTATTTTCTGATAACCCAACCGGACCCTGGTCCTGTGAGCA